GCATACGAAACGAAAAATTAACGCGTTGAGTTATGTATTTGCAATGTGTAATTTTTTTGGGGGGTCAATATATTTCAGTAATCACCGGAGCATTAAAAATTAATTTTAAAGTTTTTCTTTTTTTGTGGTTGTTATTTATAGATATTTTTAATTTTTTAGTTTTGTTTTCGATTTATGCGTTATAATTTTTTTGTTTTCTAATTATTTATTATTAACTACCTTTTATGCGTTTAATAATAGCTAGTATTATTATTAATTAGTTATTATTATAATATGTTAGATAAATACCATATGTTTTTGGCAAAAACTAGTCCTACCTACCTATATAGCTAGGGTGCCAGTTAAAATCGCGAAAGTAAAAATCGCGWAAATAAAAATCGTGAAATGTTATATAATAACATCGTGAAATAGCGAAAAGTAAGAAATTATTTTCGTTAGTRGGTATACCTTTTTAATATAATAAGTAATAATAACACTAGATAATAAATARAGGGGATACACTTAAAGAATTAGTCAATGACTACGAAAATAGGAATAGGCTTGAATACCTAAGACTTAAGMGGTGTTGCCTATAATTTATCATATTAAATTTAAATTTAATYGTGTATAGTATTTTGATTTTTATGGTATTTTTATGTTTATTATTACTTATTATATTATAAAGATTAAAGGTATACGAATGAAAATTATTTTTTTACTTTTCGCTATAAATGTTTTCGCTGTTAAAACAATTCGCGATTTTTATTTTCGCCGTTACAACAATTTATTTGTTATTGAATTCAAATTTAAGTCATAACACAAACACATCCATTACAGTTGCATAATCAATGACTGTAGGTCACTCGAAACCTTCGATATTAAATGGATTTCTCAATTTTTCTTTCTTATAATTTTGTATTATTTATATATTTTTACTATGAGTACAAACATCAATACCTGCATTATAATATATGAAATGTAAAAATATAATTGCATACCCATAAATCGTAATTTATGTTTTTAGAGATCATCTCCAATTTCAATTTTAGATTCTGAGCAGAGCGAGGAATGTATTGGTTTTTCAATGATGTTTATTTCTTTTTCTTTTTTATTCTGTAAACACTTTTTCTCCCTCTAAACTTGTTCAAAAATATCAAGTGTAGCAT